TAATTAAATGTAAATTGCCAATTTTCATTGAATTTGTTTGAATATTAAAGATTTTATAGGCCCAAAAGGGTGACATTCTCAAGACCCATTGTATGGGAGGTATACGAAATCTTGGTCCGATCTATCCAATTTTTTGTCAGTTGCTCTTTAGGCCAATAATAAACACATGTACCAAATTTCATTAACTTACGATAACTCCTTCTATTTTTGGCCGCTGTTTATATGAACTCGCGACATGGTGCGCCGTCATATCGTTGATCTCTCAAAAAAGTTGGATCCAAATCCAACCCAAAACGGAAACCGATCGAACCTTTCTATTTGAAATGCATTCTTTTTTCCGTTTCCGTTTCTTTTTTTATGCAGAGAGTGGAGCCCATGTATTCAAACACAGTTTTTTAAGTCGTCCGAAATGGCGGTTTTAAGGTATTTCACTCCGAACATTGGTCATCACAATTAGAAAACCCCCTCTGATTTGAGCCAGATATAGCGCTCGGTCAAATCCCGTCTATTAAGGTAGTTTTAGATTGGCCATTTAATCAGTGTTGGGCAAAACTAAATTGCGAGCAGGTGTGTGCGAGCTTAACTAAGAATTCATTATTCATCAGTAAGGAAAGTAGTAAAGTCGGACTGGGCCGATTACATGATACTCTTCATCACTTTGGATATATTCTACATATTGCTCATTTGCTGCAAGGCAGGCATAACTCAAAAAAAAAAAAACGATTTTGCAGAAAATGTGTTTTAAGTTTTCAATTTACTCACACTTTATATGGGAGCACTGGTACAAAATGAAAAAAAACTAAAATGTTTGCTTCCTTAAATATAATGGGAGTAATGGCCCGGGCGCCCCCTGCATCTATATCCGAGCCGATTTCAAGGAAACTTCATCTTTAGTGCATCATTTACTTAAAATCGAACGAAAATATATATACAGTGAGCAGCAAACGTCATGGTACCCCATACAAATCAACAAATATTCAGTAATTCCTCAAAAAGTAATTCACAAAATTTCAAATATATATTTTTATTTCATGTATTCATTACCTATACTACAACAAATTTAAGTAATATTTCATTTTTTTTATTAAAACCTAATCGACATAGTGCCAATTCCATAAGTCTTGGTACCCCTAGACAAAAATAATGAATTATTTAATATTACTTAATTTTTATATGTAATTAAATTGATTTACCTAATATTTGGTAGGATATCCCTTGAGTTTTAAAACGTCATTCAATCGTTCGGGCATTGAGTATACAACTTTTTTAGTGTAGTCCGACGATGTTTTACTCCATTCTGTCAGAAGTATTTCTTTGAGCTGGGCCTTATTGGAAATTGTATGATTTCGGATTCGTTTATCTAGATGATCCCATAGGTGCTCAATCGGATTTAAATCGGGGCTTTGTGGAGGTGTTATCAGCATGTGTGGTGTATTGTATACGATCCAATTTTTAACGTCAAAAGCGGTGTGTTTTGGATCATTGTCCTGTTGGAAGTAATAATTATCACGAATGTTGAGTTTTTCAGCACTTTGATTCAATTATTGTTTCAAAATATTCATGTGAACTGTTTTATTCATTACTTCCTCAATGAATACCAAATTGCCAACACCAGTTGCTGACATGCATCCCCATACCATTACTCCATCTCCTCCGTGCTTTACTGTGTTCCGAGTATTCTTTGGATTGAGCTCTTCGCCTTTTTTCCACCACACCAAAGAACGTCCATCCGACCCAAATATGTTAAATAACTTTTGCCCAGAATTCATTTGTCTTGATTATAAACATTTGCAAAATCGACAAGCTTCTTTCTGTTTGTTTTGTTTACAAATGGTTTTTTGCGGGCAGTGCGAGCATTGAATTCACACTTCTTAGCCCACATAATTCTAGATCTAGTTCTGGGACTTTGGTGCACCATTTACCTAAAATCGACGAAACTATATACGGGAGCTATACTAAAGCTGAACCGATTTACGAAACTCAGTACGCTATATCAAATTTCGTGTAAATCGAAAGATATATAGGGACTTTGGTGCACCATTTACATTAAATCTGAACCGATTTTTCCCAATTTCAATAGGGCTCGTCCTTGGACCAAATAAATAAGCTGTACCAAATTTCATTCAAATCGGATTATAAATGCGTCCTAACTTTGTTTACAATTTAACATCAAGTGAAGTGATTCCATGGATATTTTCAAACGGAACTATGGGTCGAACTCGATTTCTTTTGCCTGTTACAAACATATGCACAAAGATACCCTGTACCACAGCGTGATAAAGGGTATAAACATACTATTGTAGTTACGTCCGTTTGAATTTCTTTAATTAGATTGCTGGTTTTGACGTTAGATGTCCAAAATTTATGTGTGAACATGTAGTTTGATTAAAGAAAAAATAATCAAACAAAAAGTCAATTTAGAAATTTTCTGTAGTTACGTCCGTTTGCATTTATGATGACTAGTGTGTGCAAAAATTCGCTCGCGAATGAATTAAAATACATTCTTTTCGTTTTGTGCTCATTTTACGAATGAATTTATGGCGGTAAATTCTTTACCAAACGAGCATTCGCCAAAGAATGTTCGCACACACATAACAGACGAGGTCGAGCACTCAACAGCGATCGTTCGTTTCGTTTGGTGGTTGAAATTCTTTCTGACATTCTCTCACGAATGAAAACAAACATTCTCGCAAATACTCAAAACAGCAACAACAATAACAACAAACGTCCTTGAACTCATTAGTTGTTGGACATGTGTTTTGTCATTCCACACATTTTGCAGGGTTTTACACTGTTGGTGATTGGTATTGGTCATGAGAGTTTTTTTCTCTCTCTCTCATTGGTAAATAGAGTTGGAAAACATTGCCACAGGTAGGAACAAAAAAGTACGAAAAGGTACCTAAAATTTATTTCAAATGATAATATATCATAATTATCGAGAAATATTGGCCAATATTTATACCAGTTTGTACCTTGTTTGAACAAAAAGTACGCTTGTTACAAAATTAAAAATAGCGCAACTCTAATTGCTCTCAATTTACCAATGAGAGAAAAAAACTCTCATGACCAATAGCAATCACCAACAGTGGTGATATTTTTGTTTGTTGTTGTTTTTAACAGTGCTCGCGAGTATTCGCGAACATTTGTTTTTTGAGTTTTTCAAAAGTATTTTCTTCAGCAACAAATGCTCGCGATCGAATCGACGACGCTTGTAGCGAAATTTTATCGTTCGTGAATTTTTCGTACAATTCGAACATTCGCTAGAGATTGCAAATGCTTGCTCATTCATTGTAACTTTATCATTCGCGATAAATTGAAAACATTGGAATTCTCGCAGTGAGCATTCGTGAGAAAGAACGTATTTTAATCATTCTTCGCACCCTATTGATGACGATATATACATTCTATGGTCATCGGTGAATATTTTGTTTCTTGTTGCAAATGGAATGACAAATTTAATATACACTCCACCTAATGGTGTAGGATATACAAATAGGGAATTTTTTAGCCAGAAAGTCTAAAGATCCCGACATTGAGTAATTGCACAGCTTTTTCATAAAAGCTGCTGTTTTTTCACCACTGGGTATACCAAATGTTATAAAATACTCTCTCGCTGTCACTTTTTTTCACAATGGCAAATAAATGACGTCAAGCAAAAAACAACAAGACAAAGAGTAAATGACTGACTGACTGCCTACAGCTTGCTGCTAAGCTAAAAAATAACAAAGATACGGCAATTTTTTTTCGCACAACACACACACTCACCTTTAGTGAATATACAAACGGAAACTTTTTATATTTTTTGTATTCTGTATGAATGGAATTGAAGAGCGTGAACCGAACTGCTGCTACCCCGATTTCGTTGGCAAATTATTTGAACAAAAATTCCTCGTTCACATCACAGCTCTCAGTTTTAACGTAAACTTCCATTGAAGACAACACGCCAAACAAATTCAAATACTAATTTTCGTCAATCTCGAAAAAGATAAAGGTGATAGATAACAAGTGAATTAAAAAAATAAAATTTATGTTTTTTGTGTAAACAAAATAAAAATGCGAGAATAATTATAAAAATATCTGCGAAATAATTAAAGAAAATTCCGTGAAAAAAAAAATTAAAAATTTTAAAATAATTTTTATTTTTGTGTGACAACCAACCCCATTGTCCAGAGTACTTTGAAAAATTCAGTTACAATAACAACAAATACAAGTTGTGTGAAAAGTGGAAAAAGCTGCTGATGAAATTGAATCACTTGATGAAATTTCGTTTTTTCTTATAAATCTGCAAAATCAAATTATCCTAAATGGCTTTCAGTGCTCGTGAAGAACCCTTCAAAGATTTTTTATTCAGTGAACGTCTGTAAATTTTTTTTAAATTGATTTTTTTGGTGAAAAGAAATTACAAAAAAAAAAGAAAGTTTCTAGAAAAAAATCATAAGTGATAATTAAATAATTAAAAAACTAATTAACAATTATTCATATAGATTGCGAATAAACGCTCAATCTATTCTATTTGTGAAGCATACTTTAAGGCATATTTAACTTAAAAACAAAATCAATCACGTGCAATTGTCCCTACGTCGCCACAGACAGCATCGCTTTAAGCGTCACACGTGTAACCGTTATTCGTACTACTATTATGTTGGCTGACCGCTTATTTCCATATATGCCAGTCTCAGCCACAACTGCAATCACAACCTTTGCTACCTCGCCAAGAAAAACTTTGTTGTCAAACCACAACACGTCGCCTTTGCAACATTTTCGCTGTGGTGCTGCTATGCATCAGCATTCTTTGCAACAACAAACATTGCACGAAGCAAATCCTTTGCATTACCACCGCCACCATCAACATCGTAACGTCTCGGTTCGTTGGCAACCCCATTGCAACTTCACTACAAACAATTCCGAATTTATGTTTCGCGATCGCTGTTGCCGAAAATCATCGGTTGCGGTATTGTGTAAAAACTTTATTTGTATTAAACGTGTCGATCAGAGAAGTCTTATTGGCGGATTTAAAGGTAGCGGCGGCCATCGCCATCTATCGAAGCGTATTCCAATGAAATTGTATATGACGATGTCATCAATGTTCGACAACATGATGCTCGGTAAGTTAAACATTTTACTTTATTTTAACTTTTAGAGATAAGAAATCGATAAAAATTATGGAACTAATAGATCTAACATCAAGGGGTCTCAATTCACAGAGAATTTATAGAAAATTTCTTGATTTCCGATTAGAAGGTCCTTAGATTTCCTATAGAAATGATATTTAGTATCAGATATGAATAAGTTTTAACCTCCGATCGGAAGTCCTTTTAATATGCAATAGTGTCCACTTTTGGTCTCCGATTGTAGGGCTTCTTGATATCCAATAGGAAGGCCTTTTGGTCTGCAATAAGAAGGTTTTTTGGTCACCAGAAAGGAGGCTTTTCGTTTTGCAATAGGAAGGGTCTTTGGTCTCAAACATGAATTATTTTAGACCTTTTGGTCTCCTATAGGAAGCTGTTTGGTCTTAAATGGAAATCATTTTTGGTTCAAATAGAATGGTATTTTGGTCTACGATACGAAGGAGTTTTAGTCGCGAATAGGAAGTCCTGTAGTCTCCAATATAAATACCGGTTGATCTCTAATATAGACATCTGTGACAGGAAAGCATTTTGATATCACATCGGTCTCCAATAGAAAGGATTTTTTGTTCCAATAGAAAACCTTTTTATTCTGCAATAGGAACATCTTTTGGTCTCCGATAAGAACCCTTTTGGTATTTGATAGGAAGGACTTTGGTCTCAGATAAGAAAACTTTTTGGTCTCCGATATGAAGCGGTTTTGGTCTCTGATTGAAAGGCCTTTCGATATCCAGCTTTTTGGTCTTTAATAGGAAGGACGTTCAGAATTTTATAAACCCTCCTAAAGGAGGGATATTTGGTCTCCAAAAGGAAGGATTTTGTATCTCCAATTGGAAGACCTTTTGGTCTCCGATATGAAGAACTTTTGGTATTCGAAATGTAGATATTTGGAATCCAATAGGGAGGCCCAATATGAAAGACCTTGATCATTTATAAAGGATTTTTGCCATCCGATAAGAAGATCTTTTGGTCTCTGATTTAAGGTATTTAAGGTATATTAACAAACCATCTTTCAGAAAACAAACCATATTTTCTCCTCCAAAAAATCATCTCCCGCTTTGTCGGAGGCATATTTTACGACCAGTCCAACGTTCTTCGTGAAGGTATGAAGCTTACCCTATGTTTCTCGAAACCAGACAGAGGTCGACATGCCGCACAGGATCTTATCAACAGCTACACTGTCCAATCCAAAGACGAGGTGAAAACTTGCCAATTAATACGAGTGCTAGTAGTTACCCTTCCAGGGGGTTTCAAGGTCATTTACTGCTTTTATACGGAAGTCAAGAGCTTTCTTATTCTTACCTTGATACACCAGGGTAATTCTACAAAACATATTTGACTCTCACTGATACACCCGTCGGTATCACCCTTGTACACGACAACTACTCGTTTGTGATATTCATCTATCTGCCGATTAGTCGATTTAAACGCCTTGGAGTTACCGGTCGGTACTTTCGTATTCTCGATGAGCTTCTTGACCACAATAGATGCAATGACACCAGTTTTTCGCGATACTTTATCTACTTCGCTCAGCTTTTTTAGATCCTAGGCAAATTGGGGTTTCAAACTTTGAACCATATCTGATAACGATCACACCATCCTCACATGATTTTCATTAAAATGCAATTTTAGAAATGGGTTTTTTCGATGCAATCGTGAGTCAAAGAAAACATCCGGACTATGTATAAATATTATTAAAAAAAATTCTACATATTTAAGAAATTATTTTCAATATTGTTTCAAACCACATCCGATAATTATAAATTATAGATTATTTTCTAAAAATATATTTATGAGACCGATACATACTAGGCTGTTAACGCTACTCTATGTTCAGTTAGTAGTCAGAGCTCATAGCGAAAAGGAGAACAAAGAATACAGATATAAATATTTTAAACGCCCAGATCTGAACCATAAATTTTGTTCAGATCTGGGCGTTTTCGTCAGAAGTTTAAAGTTTTTTTTAAGAGTGGAGGCTTTGGAGAGATAGAAGTGGTTAGCTATGATTGGTAAGTAATTTATTTGCTTTATTTTATGTGATTTTTCTTAAGGCACAATCCGAAACTCAGGATGTCGCTTTTTTAAATGTGAGGTATTCCGATGTGATCGGTAGAAATTCAAAATAGAACGGGCAGGTGTATTCACGTTTTTAAGGTAATAGCCCTGCAGTTTCACAAGTAGTGGCTGGCAACTTTTCTTCGACTACATCGACGATGAATTTTCGACTGCATCACCGGTTATATTAATGCTAATGCTGGTAATTTGTAAAGTAGTGTCTCGAACCTTATAAATTTCATAGTCAAATTTTCAACATTTAACTTCGATTACCGTTACTGCAGGGAGGTTATTCTAACAGATATTGTGATGAAAAGCGAAGGCTTTGCCTGTTGGGCGCCAGATTTCACCTTCTAACTGATTTGATCCAAAAGATTCTTCCCACATACCGTTGGTGTGTAGAAACCTAAAATCAGCTACACACCACAGGCATTCGGGAAGAAACTTTTGAAGCAATCCAGTGCAAATATAAATGGTCTGTTCCAGAACCCGCAATAATGTACAATTTTTTACTACGATAAAATTTTTGTCCTTCCAAAAGCTTCTAGTATCAAATAGTGGCGATGAAGAAGATACCCCAGAACCAATAAGAGATGATGGTATAGAGTGTATACCACCTAGCCAAGATGAGGTCATAAAAGCAATTAATCGGCTCAAGAACAACAAAGCAGCAGGAGCCGATGGATTACCAGCCGAACTATTCAAGACTGGTGGCCAGATACTGGTCAGGAGCATGCACCAGCTGATTAGCACAATTTGGCTAGATGAATGCATGCCCAATGATTGGAACCTCAGCATCCTGTGTCCCGTGCACAAAAAAGGAGACAAGACGATATGTGCCAACTATAGAGGAATAAGTCTTCTTCCCGTCGCATATAAAGTGCTATCCAGTGTGCTGTGTGAACGATTGAAAACTCACGAAAAACACATCGACTCGGACCAACTGTGGAACTTGAGAACTACAGCTTCGAGGTAGTTAAAGACTTTATATACCTTGGTACCGCCATAAATAAAACGAATGACATCAGTTTTGAAATTCGGAGAAGGATTGTGATGGCCAACAAATGCTACTATGGTCTAACTAAGCAGTTTAGAAACAAGGCCACCTCCCGCCAGACCATACTCACACTTTGCAAGACGCTGATACTACCCGTGCTATTGTATGGATCAGAAGCATGGGTACTTGCGCAAGCAGATGAGGCAGCTCTTGGGGTGTTTGAGAGAAAAATTCTCTGAAAGATATACAGGCCGATCTGCGTCGACGGTGAATATCGGCGTCGAATGAACCACGAGCTTTACAATTTATACGCGGACATCGACATAGTCAGTCGTATTGAGCTGCAGCGACTACGGTGGCTAGGCCATGTTGTGCGGATGAATGAAAATGTCCCAGCTCAAAAGGCATATAAAAATGAGCCTACTGATGGTTCCCGTAGAAGGGGAAGGCCATGAATTAGATGGTAAGACCAAGTAGAAAACCACATCTTGGAACGTGGTCTGGTGGTTGGTGGATTTGCGCACAAGACCGATGCGCTTGGAAATCTTTTTTAAGCTCGGCTTATGGAACAACCGTTCTGAAACAAGCCAGCTAAGTAAGTAACAATTTTTCCTTTATGATATCGAAGAAAATAGTAAAAATTAGTAGATTCTTGCAGTAAGGGAACAGACCAAAAATGTGGCACCCAAGAGGAAGACTGGAAAAAATATATTTAACTATACAACTGAAATATATTCCATCCTTTCTGTTCCTTGGATTGAAGGTAATACAATTGTGCTCTGCTCGTTTATTAAAAACGAAGTATTTACAGCTTAAATGTTAACACGTTTACATTCGATTGCTAAGTTCTTGGGTTTGGCTTCTCCCCGGGTGTACGGTTTTTTATTCCCGATACTCTGTATCAAATAAAACACGGATCCTCGTAGATTACGATTACTACAATGCTTTATAACTTTGTTTTACAGCATTACGTTACATTTTTACGTTACTGACGATTACTCTGCGTTGTAAAGATCGTATCGTAGAAATTCAGTAGTTCGAGCAGCTTCAAATTTGCCTCAGAATATACTTGTGGTTTTCAGAAGCTATCGGCAATATGTTGTCACGTATTCTCGTTCTTTAAGTTCAACATGAGGATCAAATAGATTAATGCAATTTCCAATTCACGTAGCAGATCGTCCACTTGTTTCTTTCAATAATATATTACGTAACGCTAAACTCTGCAATTCTTGGTTATTAGCAAATAGTTGTCAGATTTCATTATATTCTTGACGTGGATCCAAAAAAATTGAACTTTTCGACCTTAGATTAAAATATGAAGAATAAAATTGTATTTCTCCCAATTAATATTTAAATTTGCAGCAATCCAAAAGCCTTTGATACTTTTGTGTCATACCAGATACTACCATTTTCGCATTTCGTTGGCAGATTTCATCATCCCCACCAGCTTATCTTAGGTCAAACAGAAATGTCTTTCAATGATACTCAGAAAAACAAACGCAAATTTTCATATGAGGTAGGTCGACTGGCGACTGGTACAATGATGGCCAACAGATCATTACCGAGCACTTTTCCTACCTCGGTCAACTGGCTCTTAAAGAAATCAAATCTTGCCACATCAAATCCGAAGCCGTCCTCAAGTGTACATCAGCTCTGGAAGAACTTAACCATAGCTACCGGTTGCGTTGGGTACCAGGACATTGTGACATCTTGGGTAATGAAAGAGCAGACGAACTCGCTAGACGAGGATATCAATCCACCGATCTAGAAACTGATGACTTTTCTATAGGAATTTTGAGGCATTCTTTGACGAAACAGCCTGCGAACTTTGGCATAACGAACCTGGGCGCAACATGTCAAGATCAATTTGGCCGACTCTGCTTACCAAAAAAACGCACTCACTATTGAACCTGAGCAAAGCTGAAAT